CTCACCTCCCCTCAGGGCCGGTAGCTCCGAGCCTGGGCTGTGCTGGTAGCGGAGCTGTAGGTGCGTACAGCCGCCTCAGGGCTGAGACACCAGGCCTCGTTTGTAGACACTTTATTTTACTCAAATCGATTCTTAAGTTCGTAGCAAAGACTGCGCTTTTAGTTTTAAAAATGGGCTTTTCCGAAGGTTCAGCATAAGTCAAGTCTTTATTTGAAGATGGTATGTCAAATGTTTATCTAGAGCTAAGAAGCATAAAGTAGACGTAGCTGTGTTGGACTGTCTGTAGGTTTCATGAACGTTCTGTTCTTTTTCAGCGTTTTGTTTGGTTTGTTTTTTTTTAACTCCAATGGGTGATGAAAAGGATTCTTGGAAAGTGAAAACTTTAGATGAAATTCTTCAGGAAAAAAAACGAAGGAAGGAGCAAGAGGAGAAGGCAGAGATAAAACGCATGAAAAATGTAAGCAATCGCTTGATATCCAACCATTTCTAATGAAACCTGAGGAGCTTCAGTGCCTGTATTCTCATTTTCTGATGAAAAATCTGATGTCCTGCCAGTGGGATTTCTCTCTGCTTTTATGCATGTTTCATGTGTGATCTTGAATTCCAAAGTCTGACAGAAATACAGTGCTAAGATCTTGTTGGCCTTATATTCTGTTTGTTTCATAGGGGGTTAGAAAAGAGAAAGGGATTGATGTGATTAACTGGAACTTGCATTTTGAGTAAAACCTTTAAAGGCTTTATAGAAGAATGGGTTTGAGTAATTGTTCTTGAATAAACTTTATGTTACTTTATGTACCAAATAACATCATTTTGGAAAAAAAACCCCACAGTAGTTAATTCAATCCTACTTAATTGTTGTTTATTTTTGTGTAGTTACATTGAATTTATAGAAGTTCAGCTCTGATTGCAATCAAACTGTATTTGCCTGCTTACAACTATGAAATCTCTGCTTCGTAAGTTAATGTGCTTTACTGGTGTGACCAGTTGAGGATAGCTTTTGTGCCGGGAAGGAAAAAGTTTGGTACTATTCAAATATTTTTATTTCCTGACCTTAAAATTAATCGTGTTGTTTTTTTGCTCTTTCTTGCATTTTCACCACAGTCAGATGATAGGGATTCAAAGCGGGATTCTCTCGAAGAGGGGGAGTTGAGAGATCATCGCATGGAAATAACAATCAGAAATTCACCTTACAGGAGGGAGGACTCTATGGAGGACAGGTAAGAATAGGGCAATAACCTTGTTACCTTAGGAAGAATTGCTGAAATTAACCTTTAGAAGTACTGAGAAAAAGGCTTAAAAATATCTGAAGGGGAGAAGTTTAACTGCTCCAGCATGCAGATGTGCCATCTCATGTTCATAGAATATGCCAGGATGTCATTTCCAAGTGGTGATTAAGACTTAACGGTGTGTTGTGGTAATAAAGTGTTTCACTTAAGATGCAGTTAAAGCAGGCCTGCTGAGTTCTCTTCAGTTTTAATTCATCCGCAGTTTGCTTGTGTATTAAATGTGCACCTTTAATTATGTCCTAACTTCTCATCTGTGTGACTGTGATTTTCTGTAAGGTACCGTTAATGTCTTGATTCAGGGCTGTTATGGAAGTGAACTTTAATATAAAGTAATAAAATAGGAAAAAATGCATTCTTTTCAAAATGGAGAAAAGAGGGACTCACGCGCAGTCTGTTTGACAGTAGTTGTGATTTGTCTTGTGTTTTAGAGGAGAAGAAGATGATTCCTTGGCTATAAAACCACCGCAGCAAATGTCACGGAAAGAAAAAACCCATCATAGAAAAGATGAGAAGAGGAAAGAGAAACGCAGACATCGTAGTCATTCAGCAGAAGGTTGTTATTGCTACATTTGGATAACGTTTCTGGTAGCTTCCCGAGGTGAAGCCAACAGGCACTGTGTAGAAAGTAAATCGTAGTAACTATAAACTAAAGAAAACGCTTCAGGTAGAGAAGACAGAGGAATTTAAACTTGTATTCTTCCTATGATCGTGTTTAATGCCCTTATGGGAATGGCAGGGGTATATATGAGAGGACAGTAGTAATTCTGGGACAGGGACACGGAGTCTGCTTTTACTCTTTGAAGTCTGTTCAGCTTCTTTCTGGCTTCACTGTGTGAGGGGGTGGAGCTATGATCTTTGTACCTGACTGTAAAGGAAAAAAGCGTTCGTGTTGTATTCCTGTTACTAACAGCCTTTTTCTGTTTCTAACACAAGCATTTCTGCAAGATCTTAGTCTTTTAATTTTCCAACACCCTTTCAGATCAGGATTTTGCCATTAAGAAAATAACAGAAAACATGAAAATAGGTTACCTTAAGTTTCGTCCTTTCTAGTTTTGCTTTCTAAAAATAGGAAGACTCAATATTTTGAATAGTAACACTCCAAAATTAATTTTTGTTCATTTAGGGAAACATGCCAGAGTGAAAGAGAAAGAACGGGAACATGAGCGTAGGAAGAGACATAGAGAAGAGCAGGATAAAGCCCGTCGTGAATGGGAAAGACAGAAACGGAGAGAAATGGCAAGGGAGCATTCCAGGAGGGAGAGGTACATCCATCCCTCCCTCCCCTGTGGCAAATCAACACAGATGAACAGCTTTCTCCTCTAAACCTCTCTCTAACCTTTCCTTGTTCTGAAATGACCAAAAAATTGAGAGCAAAAACTTGTAAGGTCTGATGCCAGGGCCATGTTCCTGTGAATGTGCTGTCTAATGAAAATGTGTTCTTGACTTTAATCACTTCAGTAAGCGGCTTCATTACCACAGATGTTTCTAGGTGAATTCATTGCCAGTGTTTTACTGTAATGAGAAAAAAATGCAGATGAGATTTGCATAGTATCAGGGGCTTTATTAACTGACCTTGCTTAATTCCTGTTTAAATCCTGACAACAGTGCAGCAGCTCATGTGTTTTAGAGCCCATGGTCTCTGTTTTTAAAGGATCAGCTGAAAAGCTACATCAGTTTTTGACTGATGTGCAATCAGTGGCATTGTTGCTAATGAAATGGAATGGCCCTGTAGTTTGTTAGAGCAGAGCAGTTTTCCTTTACTTCAGGAGATGAGTTTGTAATGTAACAGAAATAATTCTTTTCTAGAGATCGTCTGGAGCAACTCGAGCGAGAACGAGAGCGAAAAATCCGAGAGCAGCAAAAAGAACAGAGGGAGCAAAAAGAACGAGAAAGGCGAGCTGAAGAAAGACGTAAGGAACGGGAAGCCAGAAGAGAAGGTAACTGTCCTTGTATCAATGTTGTTTGGGCTTAGTATGTGCTGACAGAACGGTGGAATGGAGGTACAGAAAGCTTTTTTTACTTAGGTAAAAATTAAAGTAGAGGAGCCTTCTATGTGGGAGGAAAAAACCAATCTATTAAGGTCTACATGGGGAAATAAAACAGTATCATGTGTTAAATATCACTGCGTATTGATTAGCCATTAAGTCTTTCTTTGCCTCTCTCCATTAGTCTGGTTTCCTTTAGAAACAAGATTTAAGTAATCGATATTGTCTCTGTGTGTGCGTGTGTATCCGTCACGGTCCCAGTCACTTCTGAACCCTGTGTCTGAGTCTGACCCAATTTGATAGAGATTGAAGTCTCAAAATTAAGGGTTTTTTTTAAGGATTTGGGGAAATAAATTGCAAAGGGAGGGAGAGAACTCATCTAAGTACTCCAGCCGTGAGAAAGACTGTAGTGGGAGTCAAGTGGGGAAGATCTGATAACCACGCACTGTAACTTCTACACACGAGCCCTCACTTTGCACACCATCAGATACTTGCCATCCAAGTTCGGATCATTTTTGGTTAAAGGATCTCTGTCCCAGCTTTCAGAGGTAGAAATCGGAGCCCATTCCTGTGTTCAAGTGACAAAGATTGTTCAAGAGTAGCAGAAGAAACTGCATTTATTGCTATTCTTTCTAGTTTGGCTCATACTAAACAGCTCATTTTTGTTCTTAGTATATGCATGGTACTGCTCAATCTATCTAGCTTTTAATTTTAATTACATTCATTGCTGGAAATGTTCTGTCAGCTCCTTCTAAAGCTTAGCTGGCTTTATTCTTTTATGTATCTTCCCAGACTGTCTACTTCTCTATCTGGTATTAACATCTTAGTTTCAGGGTGTTTACCATGTAGGATATAGGGCATCTTGCTTCTGTTTCCCAAGTATGGCAGCACCTCTCTGAGTAGTACAAACCCATGCTTTATTATGCATAGTAGTCCTTTATTCTAGCTTTAGTTAGGTTCCACTTCTCCCCATATCCCTTTAGTCTGGAAGGGAAAAGGAGAAGTATGCAAAGCAGGTGGTTGTGGCAGACAGAAGTATTCTCATCAGGGGGGAGAGATGTAACGATTTCTTCCGGTTTTGTTTTCACTAGTTTCTGCACACCATAGAACAGTGAGGGAAGAATATGGAGACAAAGTAAAAATGAGACCCTGGAGTCGCAGCCCATTACGCCAGCAAAGAGACAAGCTTGAGCAAGGAGATAGCAGGAAACCAGGTAGCATTTGCCACTGTATAATATCTTTGCCTGGGGGCCAGGAGGAGCTCTTGTGGGGCAGTGTTTAATTTTGAGTAGTAAACACACATCCCTGGTACTCTATGGATAAAGTCTTGTCCACTTCAGCCATGGTGGCATGACTGGAATATTCATGAATATTTGCAGATGTACTGTTCTCTAAAGCAGTGCTGGTTTCGCAGGTAATCGTGTAAGTGACAAACTGAATGAATCTTTCCTTTTTAGTGGCAGGAGTAGTAATTTTAAAAGTTTCAAAGGGAGGTACTTCATTTGATGGTGAAAGAAGCAGCTGACTGGATTTTTAAAATTTTGTAGTTGAATTGTCAGGATTAAAAAGGGATCGTTTGCCTCCTGTTGGATTTGTTGTCAGGATCTACACTACCTTAACAAGTAGTTACCTTGCAGGTATCAATGTAGTTTAAGCATCACTGATACTGTCATCTTGTAGAAGAAAAGAAATGCTTAAGGCAGTATTGCGGTTAGATGGTGACTTTTGTTTTCTAAGGCAGAAAATGGTCCTTCCCATGCCTAGAAAGTCTAAACTGTGAGTGGAGACCTTGAACAATTGACATGAAAGTGTCTTTGGTTGAAGAAGAAAAGCTCTGTCTGCCTTGTTAATGAGTGTAGCTGTAAAAATAAGTGCAACTATTGTAAGTAAGCTGATAGCAGCCTGTAGTCAGCTGAAACTCCAGGTGGAGGCAGGCAGTAAGTCCTTGAAGCTGCTGCCCAGCTCATCAGCAGTTACTCACACCTGCGTTTCATGGTCATCCAGAGGGATTGCATTAGAACAGTAAGCACTGGTAGTGAGTGCTGCAGACTGTGTTATGGTGATACTTGTTACCGTGTGAATTTATTTTCTTAAAGTTAATCTTACTGGGCCTTAGGCATATATCATGTTTAAAAATCAATACATCAGTATTCCATGTTTTTTACTGTTGATCATGCACCGCTGCAATTCAGAAAAACCGTTTGTCTTTTGAACAGTGTGAACTTTTATTTTTAGTGCTCTGTATTTCTAGTACAGAGTGTTCAGCACCAGTTTAATGGCCAGAGAAAGTACAGCAGTTATCTGGGTATTCAGAGTCTTGTAAGTAGAAGTGATACTCAGTCAGCACCCTGTTTTTAATTTTTGTGGTCTCAGCAGTAAAAGAAGAGAAACCAGAAGAAAGAGATCCTCTTTCAGACTTGCAAGACATCAGTGACAGTGAGAGAAAAACCAGCTCGGCAGAGTCTTCATCAGGTGATTAAATGCCATGTAGTAGTAGATGTAATGAACTGTACAGTGTCTGCTGATGAAACTCTCTTGTTGGAGCATGTGTCTACTCAGTTGTGTTTGATTATTCCTCAGCAGAGTCTGGATCAGGCTCGGAAGAGGAGGAGGAAGAGTCCAGCAGTGAAGGCTCTGAGGAAGAGGGAGAGGAGGAGGAAGAGGAGGAGGAGACGGGAAGCAATTCTGAGGAAGTGTCTGAGCAGTCAGCTGGTGAGTGACACGAGGCAGCTCCTGGAACCACGTGTTGGGATTTTCTTTGTTTCTCATTCTGTATTGTTTTATTTGAACTTTTTCCTTTTCTCCTAGTCTAGGATAGGCTGAGACCTCACAGGTCAAGATAACTAAAAAGAAAAAAAACAAGTACAAGTCATATTCTGTCCTTTTATGTAGAGGTAATGCCAATTATTCGTCTAAGAAGCCAGATTAGAGAGCGGAAGGCCGATATTGTTTTCCTGAACAGTGTAAGGCTATTAGCTTAATTAATTTTGTAACATAACAAATACTCTGTAGAGATCAACTCTGCATTTATCTTGGGGGGTGGTGAGATACAAACTTCTCTGTCATTTTGAATTATTTTCAGTTGTGAATTTCAGGTATTTTTTTTCATGCCAGTACAAGTAAATGAAGTTAATTAAAAAAGGTTCAGTAAAAATTTCTATTTACAGCCATTCCTGTTGTTAATTAGTAAAGAAAAGGCACAAAAGCGTGCTCTGATGGCTGTGTATTTCTCTTTAAAATCAATTGCAGTTAAGAGTTTCCCAACTGAATTTATTCACCTGCCCCATCCCAGAATTCCCAGATAATTGGTACGAGTTGTATTCGCTGCTGAAGCTGAAAGGCGCAGCTCTGTTGAACTGGGGGAAGGGTTTGCTTTCCAAGTGGAACAAAAGTGCGAGGTCAGTAACTGGATGGTGGTGAAGAAGGCCTGGGGAGTTAGAAAAGCATTTCAGGAATGATCTGCCTTACCAGGGGCTGCAGAAGCGTTGGGTTTATTTGGTTGAATTTGATTCTGTTTTGCAGAAGAGGTGAGCGAAGAGGAAATGAGTGAAGAGGAGGAACGGGAGAATGGAAACCACATCCCAGTTGGTACAATGCAAATACTGAATATTTAAAGTAGCGTTTGGCTGAATTTTTGCAGCCAAATAAATATTTTTACACATACTTAATAATATTTTAAATTTATTTCTTGTGGCACTTTTGCCATCATTCTAAAGCATCATTTATGTGGCATTTTGGGGCCATTCCCATGTCAGAATCAAATCTGTTCAGAGGAAATCAGATCGTATTCTCATCAGCTGATGTTTCCTTCTTTTTCACTTTGGGTCTCTTGTCCCGTCCTCTCATCAAAAAAACTTTGCAACCAGAATGAGATGTGCTGGGTCAGTTTTCTCTCTCATTCTGTTAGTGTAAAGATTTGTTTTTCTGACATGCAGCATTTAATGCTGGAAACTTTAAACGAGTTCTTGAGAGCATCATCTCTGCAAAGAGGAGAAATTGGGCTTCTCGCTGGTCTGTACTGCTGCAGTGACTTCAGCTGCAGCAGTTGCACACCTGTGTCGTGTACCATGATCAGTGTTTCATTACCTTTCTTTGTCTGAAGCTGAAGTGAATTGTTGCAGACAGCTCCCTCTTTCCACGACTGATTCTGACTTTTAAAGTTACAGAGTCGAGGTTTGACCGGGATTCGGCAGGAAGCGAAGTGGAAGAGGAGGAGGTAGGGGAGGGCACCCCTCATTCCAATGCAATGACAGAAGGAGACTACGTTCCCGACTCGCCGGCGTCCTCCCCCATTGAACTGAAACAGGAGCTCCCCAAGTACCTTCCTGCGCTTCAGGTAGAGGAGCACTTCAAGGATGCTTGAGGGTACCATGGGCAAATGGGTTTCCTTAGCTGCTTGGTTAACATCAGAAACACGAATTTGTGTGTGAGAGAGTTTATGGGCAGAATATGTCTTGATAAATCACAAAACACACATCTCTGGGGGAAATATTGCTGTCTTTTTTTGACAAGGAAAATTGGAGCAAAAATGAGATTACTCTTTTAGATAGAGATGAGAATGTAATAATGTGTTTGGTACTCTGATATCTTGGTATTGCTATCTGAAAATGGATACTTGTGAGTGAAGACTTCCATTAACGCGAACAGAAAGTGATGGGTGGTTATTCTTTTTGTAGCCAACGGCACAGTGTAGAAATATGAAGAGAGAGCACATTTTTATTAATTGAGCTATGTGAGAGATAATCAGTCCAAGGTGCTGAGTTGCTGCCTTTGTCGTTGTGGCAGAAATTTCAGTTTATTCTGTGCAAAAGTGAATGAGTGAAGAGTTATTGAAGTGATATCGTCAGTCTACTAAAACACACACTCTGTCCAGGGTTCCTATAGAGAGGAATATAGAAATAAACCCCAAAGATACCTTTTTCGCGTGGTGTAGCCATGTTGTTGAATTCTCTTGGTAAATTTTAACTAATCCTGTGAAGCTGCTGAAGTTTGCTTTATGTGTTCTTAAAAAACCCCAAGCAAAACCCTGCCCCAGATGCTGGAGGAGTAAATGTTGTCTGTGTGTCTTTTTTACCAGGGATGTCGTAGTGTGGAGGAATTCCAGTGTTTGAACAGGATCGAAGAAGGAACGTATGGCGTAGTGTACAGAGCGAAAGACAAGAAGACTGGTCAGTATGGGTGCTCTCCAGTTGTTATCTGGGTGGTGGGGTTTGGGGTTTTTTACTCTTACTTTGCTCAGATGATACTGACTGCTTCTCGGCTCAACATAATATCCTGGGTAATAATTTTCCTTCAAATCAATTAAATGAGTGACAGAACACTGGGACATCTCTTAACGTGTATTTTTTGAGCTGTGCAGTGGGAAGCCTGCAGTTAATCATTCTGTTTTCTTTGCAGATGAAATTGTGGCTCTGAAGCGACTGAAAATGGAAAAGGAAAAGGAAGGCTTTCCCATTACCTCTCTGAGAGAAATAAATACTATTCTGAAAGCACAGCACCTAAATATTGTCACTGTCAGAGTAAGGCCACAGTCTTCTACTTTTTCTGTTTTGTTCTTGCAATATTGCCTCTTGGCCTTTTAAAATGCCTTTAAAAATGTTAGTGTTCCTAGCAGACCTGGTTTCTATTAAGAGTTATACTACCCATAAAACTAAATAGACAGTGCCTGTCTCTACATGGTGTTTCGCTAAAGTGAGCTATTCTATTTTGGGGGTTTTTGTCAAAAAAAATTACATTTTCTGTGGATTTTCCCAATGGCAGGCTCCATTCAGCCTCAGCCAGCAAATTTCTAAAATTCACTTCTGCCTGCTTTTTAAATACCATGCCCTTGTTTTGACAATTTGTGTTGTAGGAAATCGTTGTAGGCAGCAATATGGATAAAATCTATATTGTCATGAACTACGTAGAACACGACCTCAAGAGTCTGATGGAAACAATGAAGCAGCCATTTCTCCCAGGTACGGTTTGCCACGGCTCTGTAATTCTCCAGACTGGCCAACACAAACCCTTTCTTTGAGCTGTTCTGACAGCAGAGAATGAGCTTTGTGCAGTGACGTGTGCTGCCTTGGAATGTCCTGAGTGCGCTTTGGAACAGACTTCCTTGTTTTTTCCTCTGTTTGATCTGATTTTACTGATAAAATTAAGATGGGCTCATAGGCTGGGAGTGCCAATATCCATGGCGATATCTGGCTGATAAATCCAGTTTGCGTGCTTAGGGTGAAGTAGAGGCTCAGAGGTGAAATTGAGGGAGTTTCCCATGTGCTAAACTGGAAACGAACACTGGGTTTTGATTTTGGCCACTTCCTGTGTTTCTGAGAGGCATTCATTTCTGAGCATTATTTGGGCGTGTTCCAGCTGTCCCAATTAATTTTGCTTATTGGCAGCTCTGTGGGTTTAACTGCTCGTTTTATGGTGCAGTCTATACTGTGCCATTTACTTGACATCCTTTTCTCCCCCCTGCCCCTTCCCTGTTCTCCAAACAAAAATTAAAGACAGATTTGTTCTTTTAAATGTATTTGGCTTCTTTTTACCATTTCAGGTGAAGTGAAAACGTTGATGATTCAGTTACTGCGAGGAGTCAAGCATCTCCATGACAACTGGATACTTCACCGAGACTTGAAAACGTCCAACCTGTTGCTCAGTCATTCAGGCATTTTAAAAGTAAGAATCCCATGAAATAACATACCACACTTCTGTAAAAGCTTGTGTTGCAGAATTCCACTGCATTATAGCTGTGTGAAGAGCTGGATGAAATGTTTTACATGAATTTTAAGAGGTCTGAGGTGTGGCTTGTAAAACAGAGTTACGAAAGAGTGAAGTTTTAAAGAGGTGTCCATGCCACAGTGGTGACAAATAAGCATGACCCAGTGCCTGCTGAATTCTTGATTACGTGTCTGACAATGTCCTCTTCCTGGTGGTGCAGCGTAACTTCTGCGTGACAATGTCGTTTACTTTTTTGATAGCAACATTGTGGTGTTTGAACTGGGGTTGCCCTTTGAACTTGAGAGATGATTGTGAGGCTTAATAAAAAGCATAAATCTCTGTGGTAGTGCAGAACTGTACAGTTACTGGTGGAGATGGAGATTCTCTTGACAAAGTCTTTTAAAAAAGT